TCTCTCTCTCTCGCTTTGCAACTAATAATTTTATTTTATAAAACACAAACGCCCTTCTCTCACTCTACTTCGCTACTTTCTTTTTCCTCTCGCTTTGCAACTAATTTTATTTTAAGCTAAACGCATTATAAATTTTTTTGTTAAAATATAAATATTTTGACTCACAGCTAAATCTCTTTATTGTCGTTAAAAATTTGACAATTTATTTTTTTTTAGAACAAAGTCTATTCTTTTCTAATATTTAATGATAATAAAGACAAGATTAATCCTCGCTAGTCAAATATTTTTTTTTAAAATGATATTTCAACTTTTATAATTTTAACTTTTGTTCATTTAGTTCTTATATTTTTGAAAGGTGTGTTTTATCTTTGTATTTTTCCAAAAAGTGATAATTTTGTTTCGATAGTAATTTTAGACGCTTCACTCACTAAATTTGTTAAAATGTAGTCATAAATTTGTATTTAAAGGTTTTCATTGTGTATAAAATTTTTGTTAAGCTTTTGTGAAGATCACAACCAAAACGGACGTTTTGAACAAAATTTCAAAATATATAAATTATAATAAACTAAAATAAAAATAGTATTTAAACTTATAAATAATTAAATTTTTGTGTAGATAAATATTTAAGTCTCGATTCTTGCATATTCAAACATAGCTTTAACATATAAGGAAGTTGTTACCATCCTAAAAATCGACCACCCTAACAATTATTGAACTAATAAAAAAGTTCTTGATTCTAAAACTATAATCCATAACAATTTTTTTATTTAGTTTTCAAAATTTAATTTAATTTTTGAAAATATTTGTAAAAAGTAGATAACAAACCAAATACATATATAAGAAACTGACAAATTAATTTTTTTAAAAAAAAGTAACAAATGATTATGAAACAGATGAAGAAACATTAATTAATTGTTCAATTTTGGTCTCTAAAATTTTTTAATATTCATCTTTATTATTAATTAAAATTTTTTAAATATCTATTTCAATTATTTTAGTTATTATTTTAACTATGTTTTAAATAGTTTAACAAATTGATGGGGGTAGCTTCCAAATAGGTGCATGTTATATTTATAAAAAACACACACTTTGAAAGTTCCCAAGTCAAAATGGTTAATTAAAAAAATAATAAAATCAGAGTAAAAATAAAAAGTGGATGGATGTAAATATGATTTAAATGATAAATAAATGGAAATATGGGGATTAAAAAGAGAAATAATCAGAGACTTCGCGGAGTAGGGTAGTAGCATAGAATTAGATGATTTGACCTAACGAAGGAATGGTGGTGTCGGCGTGGCCTCCCATAATTGGATTTTACTTTAACTTTTACCAAAAATTGACAGCAGAGGAGCCTGCCCCAATTCCTCACAGATTCCCTCTCCTTCCCATGTATACAAATATTTTTTTTAATTATTTTATTTTCTCTCTCTCTCTCTCTTTTTTTTTTAGCAAATTTTGTTTATTATTATTGTTACTAAAAAGAAAAAGAATATGGACATAAACACGATGTATTTAAAACCATGCAAAGCACAGAACAAACATTAAGAATAATAAGAGGGAGAGAGCACATGTAGCGCACATTATAATTATAATTTCTCAAAACTTAAAAATCGAAACCCAAAAAGAAAGGGAAAAAAAGAGATAATAGAAAAAAAAAATCATCTAATTTCAGGGAAATCACGTTCCCATCTATCCTTAAACTTTAAAAAGTATTTGGTAGATTGTTAAAGTTTTAATTTTGTATATAATAGGTTGAATATACTTTCAATTTTAGGCCTAATAAATTTATGGCTTATTTGACTCTTTTTTTGTATTTACAAATTGATATGGATGATAGGATCCTCACGTTTTAATTTTGTGTCTAATAACTTCGACAAATTTAAAAATGATAGAAAGTTCGTGGACTTACTATACACTTATAAACTTTATGTAACTACTAGACACAAAATTGAAAATTTATGACATATTAAATATTTTTTAAAAGTCCGAGAATTTATGTAGACACCGTCACTAAAATTTAGGAACTAAACTTATAATCTAATTTTTTTTAATTGTTAGTAGTAATAAATAAGTTAAGTTACAAATTTAATTAGTAAACTTTTAAGATATTGTGTGTCTAATATATTCCTTGGCTTTATATCACGTGTAAACTTATAAATACATGTCTAATGAGTCCTTGAATTTTAAAATTTGTCTGATGAGTTCATAAACTTTTAATTATGAGTTCAATAAATCATCTAACTAGTGACACATTTTTTTTAAATTCACAATTAATTTGTGTCCTATAGTATCTTTTTTTTCAATTTTGCACTCAATACATCTATGAATTTAAAAAACAAAATTGATAATGTACTATTTTCAAAGTTTAGGTATTTATTAAACACAATTAAAAAGTTTACCAAGCTATTAGCCTTTTGATATCAATATTGATGGATGTTTGATTTTGGAAAATGATCAAGGTCGCAAAGGTCAGATTGACAAGTTGACTAGCTGACAAAGTTGAACGGCGAATGAGGGACTTGCAAAACAGAGACAGTACTCTGACCTCAAGTCTATAGTTGTCCAATCTAAACTCAAAGAAAT